GAGATTTACAACTGGTTCACTACCATGTTCTTCTACTTCAGACACAACACTGCAACCTGGAAGGTCTGAACTACTCTGCTGAAACTGCTGAAATGATGTGCATTACTCTGTCTGAGCCTTAGTGTCACTTACTAAATCTTCTATGTAAAATAAAATGCTGGCTATACCCCCTTTGGTGCTGACACTGGGGTAATGACATAAATCTTTCACACTATGTTAAATTAAGTTTATTCCCTTGCATAAACAATTTGAAGATGTCCGGGTTTGGTGAATTTAAAACTGATGGCAAATAACACTGCTGCTCTGACTTCAGTGACCTCCGAAGTCGAGGTGTACTGTAGAGTACAAAATGTATTAATCCTATCCTTTTCGCTCATTTTTTTTCAAATAAATAATAATAAATTCTTTGGTAGAGCTTTGATTGTGTACAAAAAATCAGACCCGACCCAATCCAGGCCATGAAAAAATTCTGTGCCAGCCCCAACCGACCCCCAACCACGGAAGTATTGGGCCCGACCCAAACCCGAATATCTGCTTAAAATAAATAAATATAAAAACTAATAAATAACAAATTCACTCATTAATTACAGTTGCAGGCATTATTAATAAAATATTAAATATATATATTCCTTAAATAAAATTCTACTTTTACGTCTTGGGAATAAGACTCAACAATCACTATCTTTCTCATGGATTCTTACAAATACCAATAGGAGCACTATGAGGAGCCAGAGGAACCATTTTATTGTTTTTTTTTCACAGACAATGTAACATACCCTGAAAAACAACATGTAGTTTCCAACTTTACCTTGCTTCTATGATAATAGAATATACTTGTTCTAACCAGAATGCAGTGCGGCACAACCTCAGCCTACACAAGTGTTTTGTGCGAGTGGAGGGTGGAAAGGGAGCTGTGTGGACGGTGGATGAAACAGAGTACCAGCGGAGGAAAGGACAGAAGTATCACAGGTACAAACATCCTGCTCTCTACTCTCTATTCAGGACTCAGTGTGGAGCAGAGTGCGGTTTATGGGCTGATATTTGTGCCTGGAAATGTTGAATTTGGTTCACTCCTATCTCCAAGAGGAAGGCACTAAAATGAATTCCCAAGTTACAAAGAAAGGGAACAGGTAGGGAAGGGGAGGGAAAGTAAACATTTAAAGGTCCAGTGTGTAACATTTAGGAGGATCTGAATATTCATAGGTATGTTTTCATTAGTGTATAATCACCTAAAAATATGAATTGTTATGTTTTTGTTACCTTAAAGCCATTTATATCTACAGATACTCTGGGTCACCTTCCGTGGAGTCTGCCATGTTACAGTAGCCCAGAACAGACAAACCAAACATTGGCTCTAGATAGAGGCGGCCATCGTAGTTTCTCCTACACACTTCATGGCCAGTTTTCATTCCCAGGTCGTCAAATACAGCAGTGTTCAGTTAGTTGCAATCTGCAACTTCACTGCCAGATGCCACTAAATCCTACACAGTGATCCTTTAATAATTCAATTTTAGATTTTGCAGATTTTAATTTTAATTTAATACAACATCAAATGTCTACCCATAATTGATATTGAAATTGGCCCATAGCCAATAAAGTGTGTGTGTGTGTGTGTGTGTGTGTGTGTGTGTGTGTGTGTGTGTGTGTGTGTGTATGTCACACTAACTGTGTGTGTTTTCAGGGACTGTCCTGTAAAGTGGCTCAAGTCGTACTCCCATTACTGTCCAGAGGACCCCTGAATGCCACCAGACTCATCACTGAGCTGCAGTCACATCCACATGTACTGGTATATAGAACTGCATGAAGAAGTGAAGAATCTGTTGAATTGTCTGTTTATATTTTGTTTTTGTTTTTAATTACTTGTTAAATGAGATTGTGATTTTTTACACATATCTGACAGAAGCTTTTGTACCTGCTGATTTCTAATTTCTTATTGCAAAGGAAGTGTTGCAAAATAAATGCATCCAACATTTGTGGCTGTTGTGCCTTCAATCTGATTTGACTTACTCATGAAGTGGTACCTTATTCAGTTGGTCAGAGGTTAGACATCTCATATCAGCCTCCTACACTTTCATCTGCTCTTTTAACATCAATGATCTTGACTTTCACAAATGTAAGTTGAAAATTGGTCATTAACCCCCTAAACTCTCTTTTTGTCCCTTTTCCCACACAAATAAAACCCACTTAAAGACTTCAAAGGCAACTGTCTATTATTACCATGCCATGCTCTATGACATCAGAAGTCATACTGAAACACACTGGTGACATTAGGAATGTGGTTTACTGAGCACAACCAGAGGTGGCAAAAGTACACACATTCTTACTCAATTGAAAAGTACTGATTCAACTTCTTCTTTACTCAAGTAAATGGGAAAAGGTACAGCCTCTGAAGTGTACTCAATGTACAGTATAATTCAATTTAATTCAATTAAGTTTTATTTGTATAGCGCCAATTCATAACAAAAGTTATCTCAGGACACTTTTCAAATAGAGCAGGTCTAGACCGAACTCCTTATAACATTATTTACAGAGACCCAACAGTACCACCATGAGCAAGCACTTGGTGATGGCAACAAGGAAAACCTTCCTTTTAGGATGCAGAAACCTAGGACAGACCCCTGGCTCTAGGTGGGTGGCTGAACAGCTACAACAGTAGCAACAACTATACTAATAGAAATGACTGGTGATGATGATGATGATGAGAATGATGATGATGATGATGATGACAACAGCCACAACGATGGTGGACAAAGGACAAGATAATAGTAATAATAGTAACTGTAATAACAATAACAATAATAATCGTAATATCAGTAATATTAGCAGTGGGAATCAAGCAGGACCATGGCAGGAGACACCACCAGGATCCATAAGAACCTGCAAGGCAAGAAAACACAAGAACTCCGGGGAAGAAGTGAAGTTAGTAACATGCATTAATGGGACATAAATTCAATTCAATTAAATTTTATTTGTATAGCGGCAATTCATAACAGAAGTTATCTCAGGACACTTTTCAAATAGAGCAGGTCTAGACAGAACTCCTTATAACATTATTTACAAAGACCCAACAGTACCACCATGAGGCAGCAAGGAAAAACTTCCTTTTAAGAGGCAGAAACCTCGGACAGACCCCGGCTCTAGGTGGGTGGTCGTCTGTCTTAACCAGTTGGGGAGAGAGACAGAGAGAGAGAACAGAGGTAACAACAGAAGGACAGAGACAGAGACAATGGTGCACAGCAACAACAGTAGCAACAACTACACTAATAGTAGTGACTGATGATGATGATGATGAACATGAAGAAGATGATGACGACGACGACGACAACGACAACAACAACAATAACAATAAAAATAATAACAATAAATGTGTGCAGAAAGAGAGATAGAGGAAGGGAGGAGCTCAGTGCACCATGGGAAATCCCCCGATAGTCTAGGCCTATAGCAGCATAACTAAGGGATGGTTCAGCACTCACCTGATCCAGCCCTAACTATAAGCTTTATCAAAGAGGAATGTCTTAAGCCTACTCTTGAATGTGGTGAGGGTGTCTGCCTCCCGAACCACAACTGGAAGCTGGTTCCACAGGAGAGGAGCTTGGTAACTGAAGGCTCTGGCTCCTGTTCTACTTTTAGAGACTATAGGAACCACAAGTAGCCCAGCATTCAGAGAACGTAGTGTTCTAGTGGGGTAATAGGGTACTATGAGCTCTTTAAGATATGAAGGGGCCTGACCATGGAGAGCTTTATAGGTGAGGAGGAGGATTTTAAATTCTATTCTACATTTTACAGGGAGCCAATGCAGAGAAGCTAGTACAGGAGAGATGTGATCTCTTTTTCTAGTTCCTGTCAGTACTCGTGCTGCAGCGTTCTGAATTAATTGGAGCGTTTTAATGGACTTATTGGGGCAACCTGATAATAAAGAGTTGCAGTAATCCAGCCTTGAAGTAACAAATGCATGGATTAGTTTTTCTGCATCTGTCTGTGATAGGATGTGTCTAATTTTTGTAATATTACGTAAATGACAAAAGGCAGTCCTAGAGGTCTGCTTTATGTGGGAATTAAAGGACATGTCCTGATCAAAGATAACTCCAAGATTCCTGACAGTGGTGCTGAGGTCAATCCATTACAACCCATTAACTGGGTCTGAAACCGCTAACTGCAGCTAATGGTAGCTGCCTTTTGCTATTAACTCAGTAAGCTGAGCTGCTGTTATTGTGTGTTTTTTGATTTGCTGTTGTGTTTTGTTATTTATGTTTGTGTTTTGTTATATGCGATTGTGATTTGAACAAGGCCATACAAGTGTGTAAGATTTAGTGGCATCTAGCGCTGGAGTTGCAGAATCTGCAACTCCCTCACTTCACCTTCCAAGTGAGAAGGAGAACCTGTGGACCCAAAATCCACGTCCCTATCTGCAGCCAGTGTTTGTCCCTTTTGGGCTATCACAGAAACATGGCGTGTTGACATGGCATACATCATGGAAGGCAACCCGTGGTGTCTGTAGATATAAAAGGCTGATTCAAAGGTAACAAATGAATTCATTCTTATTTTCAGGTGATTATACACTGATGAAAACATAATTACAGCTAAACTTAAATTAAAAGTAGGGTCCCAATTAGGTCCCTTTCTCTAGCGTTGTGTGGCTACACGTTTTGATAAAGGCCAGCACAATTAGAGGCCTGCTCTGGATTTTATGAAAATTCTTTGGATGTGTAAAACCGTCATATAAGTATTATTTCTATTCTTTAATGTCATGTGAGCACCTTGAGCAATTGTAATAAACAAATTTCCTCCTGGGATAAATAAATTGAATAAAATAAGTAAATTAAAAAGCTTTACAGTATAAATATTATATTCCATTTTCCCCAAAAGATCGTCCTAAATCTTACACACTGGACAGTGTTTCCTGATTTTTCCTGATTTGATTTAATTTTGTCACAATTCAACCTCCAGGCCACCTGGTGGCAGTAAAGAGGCAGTAATGCGCTCTTTGCTAGCACTCCGCCCCTCGCCGGTAAACAGGAAGAAGGAAGCAGCAGAGAGCAGCAGAAAGCGTTTGTTCAGTGTTTGTGTGGTTTGTGCCTGATACAGACACTGTACACCGATCTGTCTTTGAATTTCAGCTGTCAGTCCGTGTGCTAATAATGTGGGGCTCAGTGTAGCTGACACGGTGAACAGCCGCTGACAGAGCAGAGCTAACTGCGCAGACTCTAAAGAGGAAGAATGGCAGACGAAGCTCCTTTTCAGATTTTACATAACGAAGTCATACAGTACATTTACACATCAGCTGAGAACGGAGAGACGGTGAGAAACTGAGAGAGTTTTATAACATGAACAGTTACTTCTGGTGAACTGTGTTTTCGCATCACTTCTGTCATTCTTACAGGAGAATGGAAGAAATATCACCAAACTGGAGAATATGGGCTTCAGGGTTGGCCAGGGGCTAATAGAGAGGTAACAAGCTAACTGCTAATATGTGTTCCTCTTTAAACTCTTCCAGTCTCAGAATATATTGGACCGGGTTAAACTGGCCACAGTCTCATTGTTGATTAAATAGTAATGCTTCAGACCTCCCTACACTTTCCAAAAAGTGAACAGACACAGAACTAACGTTAGTTAATTTGATATAATTTAATTGATTTATTTTATTACCTTTTAAAGCTGCAGTAGGTAACTTTTAACCCTATCTACTAACAAATATCGTTGTGACTGATTAAAGCCTGATTTATCTCTTTCTTCTGTGCCATACAGCTTCATTGTTAAAAAATGTTGAAAGCACATAAGAACTTTGTTTGGATTCCTCTAGTGGTACACATCCGGCCTCATGCAAGAACCAGTTGTACAAACAGTGCCAGGGTTCTGGTCTTCATATCAACAGCTTTTCCTTTCCTCTAGACTGACAAAAGACACAGCACGGTTCAAAGACGAGCTGGACATCATGAAGTTCATCTGTAAAGACTTCTGGACCTGTGTGTTCAAGAAGCAGATTGACAACCTTCGAACCAATCACCAGGTAGCTCTTTGTCGGTCACTATCATTCGTACAGTAGGTTATCATTAACATAATGTCAACAGAATGCACTCTGAGCCAGAAGTGCTCAACAGGCTGAAACTATTGATTTAGCATTAAATACTATGATATGTATTATATACCCTGTCACCAGCTGTACTGTGTGTTTTTGTCTGTCAGTGCTGATGTTGTTGTCATGTATTTCAGGGCATCTATGTTCTCCAGGACAACAAGTTCCGATTACTGGGTCAGCTGTCAGCTGGAAAACAGTATCTGGATCAGGCCCCAAAGGTGCTCTGTCTTGATTTCAGTAGACTGTATGACTCTTTAGTGATCAGTTCTATAAGGCTGTCTTTCTTTTTTTGAGGCCCCTGATCAGCAGGGCTTCACATTGCTACAGACTCTAATTCAGTGAATTGAACGTTCCCTTTTTTACTTGCAGTTGCAGGGATGTCCTGATCACATTTTTTGTCCCCCCAGTCTTTTATTACTGAATAAGTGCTGTCCAATTACTTTTTATCAGGTGTCCAAGCAGTTAAAGCTTGGCTTCCCATTAAACTTGAGCCCAATCGACCAGATGGTGGTGCCTGTAATTTAGTCCCTTGAACCGTGTATCCGAGTTACTTTTCAATTTCATTTTCCGTTTTCAGTTTTATTTGTATATATAATCAGAACAAATGTTATCTCAGGAAACTTTTATTTAATAGAGGGAGGTCTAGACCGTACAACAGTAACACCTATACTAGTTGAAATTACTACTTCTACTACTAATAACAATAGCAACAACAATGATAACAACAATTAAAGCTGTTGGGTGGGACCTCGCCATCAACTCACAACGCCACGCCGTGTCGCCCCACGCCCAAGCCCTCATCGTCGGAAGCCGACGCCGCGCGTTTCAGACACTGTGCAAAAGCATTGAAAACTTCAAGTAAATAGGATCAAAGTTGCCACGCTGCGCTTACTTCCTGTTGCCAGTAGGTGGCGCTCTCACTATATCAGAATACTGTCATGTAGACGTGTTCAGGGCGGGACTCTTCTCTGTCTCAAACGTGAAGTTTCATTGAGATTGGACCACGTACACTGAAGTGATGAGGACGTGTTCAGGGTGGGACTGTTACAGAATATGTGAAGTTTACTTCAGAGTACTATCTGTTTTATGGCGAATTGTCGAAATTCGATGCAACTCCACGAGCACGCTGTTAGATGTACAGTCACAAATAGCACATCTTTTCATTGGCAGTTTGTTTGAACTGTACTGACCAAAAGTTGATCCGATAAATTCCCTAGGAGGAGTTTGTTTAAATACAACGCGAAAAATCATAGAAAATGACCCAAAAAAATCAAAATGGCTGACTTCGATGCCACGCCATGGACACGCCCTTTAATGTACATGCACAAATAGCACAACTTTTAATCAGGATGTTTCAAAAAGAAGTTCATAACCTGGAGATTTTACACACTTGATGGTAATATGTAGTGAACAAGGACGAATGATTTAATACTCCAACAACAGTTCTGACTCTTCAAATGTTCATTTGTTTATTTTTACCAAAGTTCATCAAAAAACTTCACAATCACACTTCGGCTTTCATAAAACATAGTATATCAATAGTAATTAATTAATGCCATGAATTTCCCATTATTGGACAATAACTTATCTGTGTGATAATTTATTATTTATATTTATTTTGAAAAGGGTGAGTTATGTGCCATAACTCATTAACTATTTGTCCAATCAACATAAATCTCACTAGATTTCTTGACCCTGTGTTTGGGAATAGGGCTATTGAAGCATTTTGAGCCTAGTAGCATAGTATGTATAGTGTCCTTCCCTCTTCTCCACAAGGAATAAAACAAGTTCAAAGGCAGTTTGAATAACTCTTCACTGATTCATTGATATTACTGGCTGCTGTAAATTGTGCTCTCTGCAGGTCAATCAGTCACAGTGCTGTCCAGCTATTTTGACAGCTGCTGCACCCAAAGCAAACACACATTATTCAGGATTTATATAGATTATACACAGTATCTGTCACTCATCATGTTTGTCTCCCTGCAGTATCTGGCCTTCACCTGTGGTCTGGTGAGAGGAGCTCTGTCCAACCTGGGAGTGAAGAGTATTGTGACTGCTGAGGTGTCCATAATGCCTGCGTGTAAGCCATGCATCACTCATCAATCATCAAATCAGACACATTCTTGATCTTTGAAACAGTTTGATATTTAAAAAAAAATCTCCTACTTACATGAAGTGGACCCCAACGTTGCTGTATTTTGTAAGCGCAGTGTGTAACCTTTAGGATGATCTATTGTCAGAAATGGAATATAATATTCATAGGTATGTTTTATAAGTTTATAATCACCTCAATATAAGAACCGTTGTGTTTGCGTATCTTAGAATGACCTTTTTTTTTATCTAAAGACACCACAGGTCACCTTCTTACTGCCATGTTTCTACAGTAGCCCAGAAAAGACAAGATAGGGCCTTTCGTGTTTTTCACGGCCACCGTAGTTTCTCCAACATTCTCCCACACTGGACCTCCCAAAATGTTTTAAATAGGTCTACACTCCGACAACCATCACTGGTATAGATACGTTTTCTGCTATCCTGTTAACACTTTAATCAATCAGGAGAAGGAACTCCATAGAGAGACTGTACTCAAGGGCAGGCAGCAAAATTTCAGTGTGGTGTCGGATTTTGGGGCAGCTAGTGGTGTAGTTGCAGATCAAAACCCCATTGCTTCACTCTCACCTTCCAAACGTGTTGGAGAAACTACAGTGGTCATGAAACTTGTGAAATACACTAAAGGTCCTATCTAGAGCCAGTGTGTGGTTTCTCTGTTCTGGGCTACTGTAGATAAAAACAGCCAATTCAAAGGTAACAAAAACACAATGATTCTTATATTCAGATGATTATACACTAATGAAAACATAGCTACGATTATTATATTGAATAATTATTGAATTATATTGACAATAGAGCCTCCTAAATGTTACACACTGGACCTTTGTAATGTAAAATATACAGTAGTTATACACAGACAGGTGACATATTAAAGGAAAAACCTCAGTAAATGAGTGGAGAAACATAACATGCAGAAGGCTTCCACACATGTGCACTCAGGTAAACTGATATTACATTAGGGTTGCAGTGCATAAACCCCTCATTATAAAGATTGGCTTCAGATGGTGAAGGCGTACACACACAGACCTCTCCATAGTCACTATACATTTCATGTATTCTGACTAGTCTATTTTCATTCAATAATTTGTTTATATTAATTCTTATTTAATACCTGTAGCCACCACACTGGAGCAGTGGACTAACACATGCTTTCTTCTCGTTCTGTCGTTTATATCTCTGCAGGTAAATTCCAGGTCATGATCCAGAAAATGTAGTTTTTTAGTCTCATGAAAGGGAAATGCCAGCCATCTTCATCAGTAAAACATACCAGTCTGTACACTTTAGAGCGTGCGGTGATGTGTGTCAAGGTCTGTCTAGACTTCCATCGTTCAGAGGATAAGTGGACAAACACTTTCCAATGCCATGACACACATTCATGATAATACTAATATAGTAATGTAAATTTATATAAAGTCTGTAAGATTCTCACTAAATGTGTGATGCAGGATTGTCATTACAGAAATGTTTTGGTGCCCTCTGGTGGTAAACTGCAAAATGTCAGTTTGATTTGATGCACAGTATGGTTCATCATTTTAAAAATATTACTAAAATATATTGATAATAATCAATAACTTTGTTAGGATTGATCCATTATGTAGGCTTAGGAGTTAATGTTCATAAAAAAACATAATATATAGAATTGAATAATTAAAAATGAGGAAATGGAGCAGCGCTGAGTAACTTAAATACAACAATGTATTTCTTTATAATTAAATGTAAGTGCCGCCTGTCAAAGGCAGGGGGAGCTCACTCCCTCAGACATGCCAAAACGTGAATTGACAAATTGAATGAATGAAGACATTTGCCTGTGATCACAATGCTCCTAACAGGGTGAAGACACCCGCTGTAGCACTGATAATGGTCAGCTATCCTGTTGAAGCATGACTGACTAACTGTTTGTACGATATTGTAGATGGGATTTTGTTCTTATTTGAATTGTTTGTTTGGACCTGGACTTCAGGTCAAATCAGTTGCAATAAATTCCAGTGTGAAATCAAGCTTTGGATGCCTCGCTGTCTGCATTCCAGCTTTAGTTTTTGAATGAAAAACCCAAATGCCCAGTTTTAATTTCTGTCAAACAGATTTCAGAATCAATATAAAAATTGAACCAATAGTTACAGCTCTTCTTAATTTAGTCCATGTTCCAGATTTGAAGAGGTTCCAAGTTTAACTCAGTGCAGAAATCAGGCTTGCTCAGTTAACCAGCTTTGTAAAATTGTACTGCAAGTCGATCCTGACATTTTTTGGTCTATTGCCTAACTTGTCCAGTGTGATTTTCTTTTCTATCAATACATGCAGTTTAATTTGATTTAGAATGTTAAAATTCATGGACAGTTATATACAGTGGGTACGGAAAGTATTCAGACCCCTTTAAATTTTTCACTCTTTGTTTCATTGCAGCCATTTGCTAAAATCAAAAAAGTTCATTTTATTTCTCATTAATGTACACTCAGCACCCCATCTTGACAGAAAAAAACAGAAATGTAGAAATTTTTGCAAATTTATTAAAAAAGAAAAACTGAAATATCACATGGTCATAAGTATTCAGACCCTTTGCTCAGTATTGAGTAGAAGCACCCTTTTGAGCTAGTACAGCCATGAGTCTTCTTGGGAATGATGCAACAAGTTTTTCACACCTGGATTTGGGGATCCTCTGCCATTCTTCCTTGCAGATCCTCTCCAGTTCTGTCAGGTTGGATGGTGAACGTTGGTGGACAGCCATTTTCAGATCTCTCCAGAGATGCTCAATTGGGTTTAGGTCAGGGCTCTGGCTGGGCCAGTCAACAATGGTCACAGAGTTGTTCCGAAGCCACTCCTTTGTTATTTTAGCTGTGTGCTTAGGGTTATTGTCTTGTTGGAAGGTGAACCTTCGGCCCAGTCTGAGGTCCTGAGCACTCTGGAAGAGGTTTTCTTCCAGGATATCTTTGTACTTGGCCGCATTCATCTTTCCTTCAATTGCAACCAGTTGTCCTGTCCCTGCAGCTGAAAAACATCCCCATCGCCTGATGCTGCCACCACCATGTTTCACTGTTGGGATTGTATTGGGCAGGTGATGAGCAGTGCCTGGTTTTCTCCACACATACCGCTTAGAATTAACGCAAAAGTTCAATCTTGGTCTCATCAGACCAGAGAATCTTATTTCTCATAGTCTGGGAGTCCTTCATGTGTTTTTTGGCAAACTCTATGCGGGCTTTCATATGTCTTGCACTGAGGAGAGGCTTCCATCGGGCCACTCTGCCATAAAGCCCCGACTGGTGCAGGGCTGCAGTGATAGTTGACTTTGTGGACCTTTCTCCCATCTCCCTACTGCATCTCTGGAGCTCAGCCATAGTGATCTTTGGGTTCTTCTTTACCTCCCTCACCAAGGCTCTTCTCCCACGATTGCTCAGTTTGGCTGGACGGCCAGGTCTAGGAAGAGTTCTGGTCGTCCCAAACTTCTTCCATTTAAGGATTATGGAGGCCACTGTGCTCTTAGGAACCCTGAGTGCTGCAGAAATTCTTTTGTAACCTTGGCCAGATCTGTGCCTTGCCACAATTCTGTCTCCGAGCTCCTTGGGCAGTTCCTTCGACCTCATGATTCTCATTTGCTCTGACATGCACTGTGAGCTGTAAGGTCTTATATAGACAGGTGTGTGCCTTTCCTAATCAAGTCCAATCAGTTTAATTAAACACAGCTAGACTCCAATGAAGGAGCAGGACCATCTCAAGGAGGATCAGAAGAAATGGACAGCATGTGAGTTAAATATGAGTGTCACAGCAAAGGGTCTGAATACTTACCATGTGATATTTCAGTTTTTCTTTTTTAATAAATTTGCAAATATTTCTACATTTCTGTTTTTTTCTGTCAAGATGGGGTGCTGAGTGTACATTAATGAGAAATAAAATGAACTTTTTTGATTTTAGCAAATGGCTGCAATGAAACAAAGAGTGAAAATTTTAAAGGGGTCTGAATACTTTCCGTACCCACTGTATATATATTTTTTCCTTCCTTCATAAACTTGTATTTAAATTTAAAGCGGCAGTAGGTAACTTTTAGAAAATTGTTCATGTATGATATATATATATATATATATATATATATATATATATATATATATATATATATATATATATATATATATATATATATATATATATATATATATATATATATATATATATATATAAAGCTTCCTCTGGTTCACTCTAGTGTTCCTAATGGTATTTGCAAGAATCCTCTGCCACCGGACCTGGACACAAATTCAAAGCTGAGAAAGATATAAAGATGCTTTGGGCTGGAGGCTTGAAGATAGTTACATGTTGAGTTTCATTCCCAGGGTTCCGAAGCAACTTGATTTTTTTATGTCCTGAGAAAGAGACTCAACAATCAACTATCTTTCTTTGCTCTGATTGGTTGTTTTCATTCAGGCCCGGTGGATTCTTGCAAATGCCATTAGGAGCACTAGGAGGAAAAATATTTGTATAAAATACCTACTGCAGTTCAATGAAAAAATACATGTATTTGAAAAAATGTAAATAAAACAATGTATTGATTTCTAATGCCACCTTTAGACATTTCTATTTAATGCTTTACCAATGTAACACTAATGTTTTGGAGTTCAAATATCTTCATTAGCTTCATTTCTGCCACACCTTAAAGTCTCCATGCCACCCTCTGGACACTCCATGAATATTTCTCTAGATCTCCCCCTGGACTCACATCTGACTTATTACTTGATAACATTACTCAATGGATAATCTTTTTCCAGCCATCTCTTTCTCTGTTAATGCTGTTACATAAGCTGTTATTTGCTCACATGCTTTCCTCCACTGGACCTCTGTGATAACACTGGACATCAGTGACGCAGCTGCAACATTTTAAAGTAATCAAGTGTTTGTTTGTGTGTTTAAGCACTCCTTACCACAACATAGCTCCACTTAAACACTGCTTTGAAACATTCATAAGAAATTCTAAAGAAATTGATAAAAATATCCCTTTTGTGATTTTCTGATATTTTATTGAGATTTCAACAACAAACCATGGAACACTATTTTAAAGCTTTCACCAGATGTACAAAAGTTGACCACGTGTATAGAATGGGAAATACACAGTATAATCAATGATTTCCTTTGCTTGATTTTAGAGATATCATTCTGTGAAAGATGACGCCATTATGCAAGTTTCCCTTTCAACTGCCAGTGCAGGCAACAGATTCACAGATCTCACAGGCATCATAGTGGGAAGCCACCAACGCTGAAAAAGGGAAAAAAAACAAAAACATAACCAAAAATATTGCTATGATAGTTATAGATATCTTGCTGTGGATCAAATCGCAAATTGACAGACTGACCTACATCCACCTGTACTAGTAGACCAACATCACCATCTTTAAAACCTCAGTATGCTTCAAACAAAGTACTTGTCTCATGAGTGTGACCCTTCAGAACAACTATTATACTGGCCTTTAGACATGGTCAGACATGTGTTGTAGCTTGTTTGAAACATACTGAAGCCTTTTGGCCACTAGGGCAATAATATACCTTATTATAGAGCCTAAATGACTAGTTTTGAATAAAGTTAGAACGCAGTCATATTACCGAAAATAACAAACCCTTTCTATGTCCCGCCCCCTTTTGCTTTGTGCCCCAATGACACTTGAGCAAACCTTGGTAAGAACCTTGGTCAACTTTCTCCTGTACTTAGATATGAAATGTGCTAGACTTGTCTATGTTGAAACCACAACCACATTTTGAAGGTTAAAGGATAAAAGTGACATATAGTCACATCTTAAGTCAGCTATGTTAGCAAAATGTTTGTGAATTAACAATTTATGTAAATTGTCTAACTAGAAAGCTAGAGTTTTGCTAACATTAGCTTTTAAGATCAAAGATAAAAGCAAAATGTAGTCCTGTCTTAAGTTAGTGAATGTAAGCATAACTAGCAGCATTTTGTTAATATTAGTTAGCTAACTTAAGTGACTATTGGTTTTATTTTAACCATCCTCAAAATGTGGTTGTCTTTTGATCATTGACGAGCATTTCTAAGTAGGCTACTTGCTGAGCCTTATTTAGCCTTACTTATCTTATGTACATTATGTAATGTAACGTTACATTAAACATTAGCTAGGTCTGATAGCTAATGTTAGCAAAACACTTGCAAATTAGCAAGCGATTGATGTAGATTACCTAGTTAGTTAGCTGGCATTTAGCTAACATTAGCTAAAATAAGATGTGACTATATATATGTCTCTTTTATCTTTGAACCATCTGTAAAATGTGGTTGTTTTTTTCAAAATAGAGAGCCAAGCACATAGCATTATCTAAGTACAGGAAAGGAGTTGACCTAAGTTCCAAAAGGGGTGGCACTTAGAAAGGGTCTTATGAGGTTAGCAATCAGATGATCTGACAGTTTGAAAATAAACCTCCAGGTTACGGTAGTCAAACTTATGTGAAAAAGAAAACAAAGGCAAACAGTAAAATCATAACTCAAAATCACACTTTACAGAACCACTTCCTGCTTCAACTGCACTCCTTCACTATGACCTGTGCAGTGGGGGATTATGTGTGCTCATTTTCAGTTTGCGGTGGTCAGTAGTTTCCAACCTTTTTGGCTTGTGCCCCCTCACTGTGGGCATGAGTTGTGAGTGGTTAAACCAATTATTTTTTTGTCCTTGTTTCATTTTAAAGGATTTATAGTGTGATGTCAAATTATTTAGTATTTCACAAGAAAAAGGCATTTGAGAAAAGTCAGTAAAAATAAACTTAATTTTGTCTGACTTTGAAAATATGTAGTTTTATGTTTAAATATTTTCTCTCTCTCTCTCTCTCTCTCTCTCTCTCTCTCTCTCTCTCTCTCTAATTCCCATAGTCATTTTGTGTCAGATCTATCTTACAAACCCCTGGGTGGTCTTGACCCCACATTGGGAACCATGGGTTTGGGGTAGCTCAAAGGTAGAGCAAATCAAGCCCTAGCACCTCCCGCTGCATGTCAAAGTGCCCTTGAGCAAAATACTGAACCCCAAATTCTTCCTGATGCTGTGCATTGGTGTGTGAATGAGTATTAGTTTTCTATTGATGGAATGAATCTGTATGAATGTGTGGATGAATGGCTGAATGTGGCATGTAGTTTTAAAGCACTTTAAGTGGTTGGAAGACTAGAAAGGTGCTACACAAGTACAGTCCATTTACCATTTCAATCAGTTACCCTGCCCTGATTAAAACTGAACCTTACCTAGTCTGGCCAGAGATGCTCCAGCATCTTTCCTCAGACACAGAGCTTTGAAGTCTTTAGGCAGAGCGGGGTGAGAACACACAGCAGCTGCTTTGACCTCCACCAGCTGGAGCTCCTGCTTAGCTGACGCAACATCTCTGGTTATCAGAGCCCCCAGTGCCTTCACTGACTCCAGAGAGAACTCAAGGTCTCCCTCCTGTAAGGAATGACACAGCAGCTGGGAATATCACTGGACTCAACAACTATCTTTTTGGCTCTTTAGTACTATAGTACTGCTGTTAACACCAAATTCCTACCCTACCTATGTTATGTAATTTCATTTCTGCCTCGTTTTAGGTGGCAGGAGTGAAAATGAGTCATCCTCAACATTTGTTGTGTTATGTTTACAGAATGATGAAGACAGCTAGAGAACAATTAAATACAAAATGGATGTAGGCTCTACAGGATAATGTTTTTTTCCATATAAATAAAGTTGAGTTGAGTCCAAAATAATTTGAGTGTCAGTGCCAGAGAAAGCAAAACCATCCACTCATGTATGAATTACTTCCTGTTACAAGAACAGCCATTCAGATTACATATAGACAGAATTCTAAACACAGCATCACAAGAACTTGGATGATATTCTGGGCAGAAGTTGGTTGAATGCTGGTGGTTTCCAGGTTTCAGGTGTTCTTACCATTACAGTCACAGCACGGGACAGCTGGAACAAAACCATGAGGAAGACTGACAAACAGACAGCGGTCTTCATCCTTTTGCTTCCTGTAATGAATTTCTTCTTGGCATCATAAACAACAGTGCCTGTTGTTTATGATGCCATGTTGTCCCATACGGTGGAAAAATTATCAGATAAATGACGGGTATTCATTGTTTTATATTCATGTTGCTGATTAGTGTGAGTACACATGATAAAGTGGCATCTTTAACAGCTAATATTTCTTCCACTCCCCTTTGCCAAGGTTGTTACTGCAGGTTTTTTTCTTTTTCTCTCCATGGGAACAGCTCTGTGCACAGCTGTCGGCTCTAACGTTTAGAACTGTATATACTGTTTCTGTAAAACACCTTTTATACATAACATAAAAGATTTAAGGTTGTACAGTGTGCAGAAAATGTGTCATTCCAGATATATGTGGAAACATATCCTGTGTTTTGTTATGATTGGACAAACAATTTCTGATTTATAATGCCCCTAGTGGTCGATTTGAATGAAACTCACAGTCTTGGTTTCAGGGACTCCTGTGAACAACTGCTGAATGTTTGGTGATGATTGGCCCAATGGTTGTTGACTTTGATCTATTTGTATGCTGAGACAAGCCCCTTTTTAAGTTAAATGGTAAATATCTCGAAAACTAAATAAGATACCAACAAGCTTTATACAACTTTTGGCCCTGACCAGGGACTACGGCAATGCACTGTCCCTGAGAAATGAATAAATAGTCTAAATACGGTTCAATAATGACCCATGGACAATTTGGAATCAATTGGACCGGTGATTTAAAAAGAAAAATCCAAATAGTGGAAAATCTGTTTAGGCAAACTTTAGTGTGATGGTGTGGGCTTGTGTTTTTTACCTTAATTATCCCCTAATTTTTCTTGGGAAGCACTCAATTTTCAGTTATTGGGTTTCATGTTTCTAGCTCATTCCAGCTTATGGCAATTTGAGCGGATGCAGCAGACAACTAACAATAATAATAATAATAATGGTCAAAATTGGATTGCCATGCCACGGGCACGCCATTCAACGGAATGTCGTAAATAGCACAACTTTAATCATGAATGTCTTTAGAATGTACTGATTAAATTTGAAGTTGATCCGATAAATTCCTAGGAGGAATTTGTTCAAATACAACGTGTGCAAATCGCCCAAAATTACCACAAAATTCAAAATGGCCGACTTCCTGTTGGGTTTGGGTTATGGGTCCAAGAGGCTTTTTTGCTTGTCCCATCATGATACACATGTGTACCAATTTTCATACATGTTAGTCATACGTGTCTTGGGGGCTGATTCTGGGCGGCGTGGCTAAGCCATTTTGCAACGCCCATCTACGGGACCAAGACAATACCTTAGCCTTCGCCACAGCTGAATTTTGTGCCACCTGATTGGAGCATCATGGAGGGTCTCCATCTCAGAAGCTGCATCTAGCTGCCTCACCTCATGTTGGGTATTAACCTCTTCACTCTGTCCCTCTGTGATGTAGAGCTCAGTGTAGATCCTGTTGAGGAGGGTTCCACTTGTGCAAAGTTTCATGAGTTTTTGGGCATGTTTACCCCCCCAAAAAGTGTTAAAGTGGTAACAGAAAAGCTGATTTTCGCCACATCGCCATGGCAACATGGTTCCACGCAAGTTCTTAAGATTCATAAAATGTCATCGTCTTCTTCCTAAGGAACTTCTGACAGAATTTCAGCTAGATAAGATCAATCTGCTGGATACATAAAAGTAAAATAATTACATTTCCTTTCACCACTAGGTGGCGCTCTCAATATTACTGAATATTATCACATAGATGTGTTCAGGGCGGAACTCTTATCAGACAAGTGAAGTTTGGAGACGATTGGACAATGTACACTCAAGTTAAAGCAACTGTTCTGGCGGTACATCAAAATTTTATGCCACGCCACAGACACACCCTTTGACAAAAACTCACCACAATCATGAAATATCATCAACAACATGTTTTGCATTTCCCGACTAAATTTCAGCTACATTTGATCATCCTGCTAGGAGTAGAACATGGAAGTATAAAACACAACATTTCCTTTCACCACTAGGTGGTGCTCTCACTATTACTGAATATTATCACATAGACGTGTTCAGGGCGGGACTTTTATCAAACATGTGAATTTTCGTTGAGATCAGATCATGTATGCAGAAGTTATGACAAATCCCTCTTTCATGGCGAGTCATTGAAATTCCACGCCACACGCACGCCGTTCGACGGAATGTCGTAAATAGCACAACTTTTAATCATGAATGTCTTGAGTTGGCTGTGTCCAAATCTGAAGACGATCCGATCAATTCCCTAGGAGGAGTTCATTCAAATACAACATGTGCAAATAGCCAGAAATGGCTGCTAAATCCAAAATGGCCGACTTCCTGTTCGGTTTGGGATATGGCATCCACTGTATTTTTATGTTCGTCTAGATAAGATCTACGCGTGTGCCGATTTTTAGGCATATCGGTGAAAGGGGCTCCGGATGGTACGGTTTATGGGCCCCTGAGGTGCCATTTTGCCATGCTCATAGTGGACCCGTGGAAAATAAGAAATTTGACTGACATGTGCGCCACGTTTCATGAGTTTTTGAGCATGTCCAAATATGCATTCGTTTAGGAGGAAAAATAGACTTCCTTCAAATACAATAGGGCCTTCGCACGGTCAGTGCTCGGGCCCTAATAAACCAGCAGAAACACAATAACAAGTTCAGATAAGTCACGTTCATAACCACATGTGACTGCTTACCCAACAGACAAATACCTCGACAATCGATAAGATTTCCAACTGCATTTGTCCTTGACACAAGCCCTCAGTTACAGTGACAAATGTGTTCTAAATTGAACTCCTGTCTTTATGAAGTAAAGTATGGTCTGCTGGCTATTCTTGTCACCCTGTAAGTGTTGAGCCCTGGGGAATCAAACCCTGGCGACACACCTTTTTTGTTGAAGAGATAAAAGTTGAAGAGCTGTCTGTCCTGTGCCTCCAGGGAGACTGAGGCGCTGTTAACCTTCAGCTTGCAGGGGTACGGGCTCTCAAACACCACCCTGAACACCCTTTCTTGCAGGTAATCCAGCCGAATAGTTCTGTATTTGGATGGCACAGTTGTGTCCACCTGTGGTCCAAACTGTTGCATGACCAGCACCCTGTCTGAGTCCACCTTAATCTCATAAAAAGTCATATTCCTGTATGTGAAAAAGCCCACATATGGAGCTGGGTTGGGTGGTGGTCTGAGAGTTGGTTGAGCGTCCCTGAAAGCACTCTCCACTGCAGGGATGAGATAGCTGTAGGCCTTACTTACAAGGTCCTGGTCTACAGGCCGAATCCCAGCCATCAGGACCACTAGTCCCAGCTTTAGCCGTGGCACCAGGGAGAGTGTGGCTGCGTAACCGTCCAGATCACCATCCTTCTTCACCACATCATAGCCGAACTGCTTGTTGATCTCCCACGGTGAGCCGGTGGAATTAGTGAAGTAGCTGCTGTGGCATTGGAAGACTGGGGTCAGCATGGTGTTTAGGGTGTCCTGGCGGAGCAGAGTCCCACCGTAAGCTCCCAGAAGAGCCATCATGAGCTTGGCCATGTCAGCTGCTGTGGAATACATCTGGCCTGCAGGTCGGTACCAGCCGAGGTTGTACAGGGGAGCCAGCTGGCCATTGCTGTACACACCCACAGCCATCTGCCTCTGGACTGCTGGTGTTAAGTTGAAACCAGTGTCCTCCATTCTGAGCCGCTCCAGAATGTTGTCTGACACCCAGCTCTCAAAGTCTGAGTTAGTCACCTTCTGGGCCAAGACGTTGGCCAATAAGGAAAAAGCAACATTGCTGTAGTGGCATCTGAGAGAAAGAGACAGGAATGTCACAGATGGTAAATGGACCTGTACTTGTATAGTGCCTTTCTAGTCTTACGACCACTCAAAGCACTTTTACACTATGTGCCACATTCACCCTTTCACACACATTCACACAGTGATGGCAAAGTCCATCGAACAGAAACTAACATTCATACATATTCACACACCGATGCACGGCATCGGGAGCAATTTGGGGTTCAGTATCTTGCTCAAGGATACTTCAACATGAGGCACCAAGAGCTGGGGATCGAACCCACAACCTTCTGATTAAGGAACTCTGCCTCTGAGCCACAGCCGCCCCAAATGTTTGCAAGTTCCCTCTGGATACAAAATACCAAAAGTTCAATAAATTAAACCTCTTTCCTTTTAGAACATGGATTGTCTAAAGTCATCACAGTCAAAAATAGAGCACACAGGAAGGAAAAAGAGCCTTACTTGGTGCCTGGATCTGCCACGAGGACATCATCCTGTAACAATGTAAGGGCTGCCTCTGTGTCTCCACTCCAAAGGAGATTAGTTGACCTTAATCTTCTGGGTAACCCTGTCAAAGTAATTACAAAACCTTAGTGAATAAAACTGGTAAATATATGTGTGTGCTGTTCATGAAATTGTGAATGCATGAAATTTGGTCCAAACATTCCTGTTTACTACATGATGAATTAATAACTTTGGTGGGGTTACTTTTCATCTAATACCATCATGATGTCAAAATTGTCCATGACTTTGATTGCATGTCAACAAGTGTTAGCATGCGATTTTTCCAACAATAATGATGTATTTTGGTTTGAGTCTGTGTCCTCAAACAGACTGCAGATAGACTTCTACCCTGAGCAGGGCTTCCCCCTCTGTTAATCTCTTCTTTTCACTCTGAGAGCACAGAGCTGATTAGCTCTATTTATGGACAAATATAGCTCCTCTCTCTGCTGATGTGACCCTGGTTAGCTAAGGTGCTGCCGTGGTTGGTAGAGTATGAGAGTCTAGACCTACATTTTGATCAGTGTTATTCCTTCACGTTGCTGTTAAGCTATTTGACTGTGATATAATATCAAACTACCAGTTACACAATGTAACAACTGTGTTATGAGCTCGCCACTTCAAGAAGGGCTCGCTAAACCAAATTCCAAATTGCAAAGTATTAAATCTCTCTATGTTAAGGTAACCAAATTTTCCCTTTCAGTGTACCGCACATACGAAGACTATTCATTTCTTTGGACACTCCTTAAATTCATACCCCCTTGGCCGTCACTCTTTTTAGTTTGCTGCTCCCAGTGACTGGAATGAGTTGCAAAAGACAATAAAACTGCACTCCCACCTTTACTAACTCATTACATGCAATAGTTTCTGATCACTGCACTTGCTTTTGAATATGCCTCCCAGGAACGCAGTACTTACTAAGATCCCTGTTGGGTATATACAAGATTTATTAATCCCTAATTAGGAAAAAAAAATTCACTCTTTTTTACAATTTTTATTATGGAACTTTATATATATGGTTGTTTTAATTCTGTCTAATATAGTTTTGTTTATAGCACTAGTTGTTATCTATGTTTTGTTTGTTATATCAACTTGCCTCCTGTTGCGGCCTCTTGGCCAGGTCATCATTGCGCATAATAATGTAATAATGAGAGGGACAGAACAGGATAAATGTCTAATATTACATTAAGTATACTATTATTTCTAATATGTGGTGAAAACAGGGACAATTTGGTAGTGAATGTTGGACTAAATACTGGACTAACTGGACTTAAGAAACACCATCAATGCAGGGGCTTAAGTCAATCATTGGGATGCAAAGCAGGAAAAAAAAATGGAGACTGTTCCCTGTTGGTGAAAAAGATCCAACAGTACCTTAATGTTTTGTTCCTTTGATGAAGATTAATCAAAGATGACCATCATGTCATTAAAACAGATTATGGGGTTACCAGAGAGCTGGCTAGCCATCCTGCGCAGGGTGAGTGCAGGAGTGCGGATGCCGAGGGTCCTGACTGACGAGGATGCTTGCCCCCCGCTTTTCCCCAGCGGGTTTTTGATAGTGAAGTTATCTGCGTACTTTTCCAGAGGGTCGTCCAGAGAGTCCACCAGGCCATCCTCCCACAGCTTGTAAAGCATCAGCACGGGGAAGATCTTAGAGAGGCTCGCAATTCTGCAATCGGGTTGATTTAAGTCAACGCAGTACATATTTTATTATTCCGATTGATTAAACAAATGTCTCCTGGTTTAATAAAACATAGCATTCCCACTGCCGCTGCAGAGATCAGATTTAAGCACTTAATTTAATGAGTGCTTCAGTCATATTGATCACAGGTCCTATATGTAGTTTACCTAATATAATGAAGATCTGATCCTACCCCCTACCCCTAATTCTAACTCTAAGCCTCAAATCAAATGTAATATCCAACAAAAGAACTAGACTGCAGGTTACATCATGTGTGTTAATGATTATTGTTCAGATGGAGCTGCTTATATGGACTGGACATGGACTGGCTGAGCGGCTTTTAGGACTGATAGCATTAATAACCGAATATTTGGCATTTAGACAAATCACCACTTCCCTTTTATCATATCTGTCATATTTTATGTTAATCTCTTCCACACCTGTTTTTCACGATGTAAATCTCACCTGTACACTGTGTACTCATTGGGTGCAGATGAGGAGGGGTCACTTATGTTCTTCTTGCCAAAGTTTCCATTCCACAGAACAGAGTCATTTAAAAGCACGATGGCTGATATGGCTGGCAACTTGGTGGTGTGAACGCTCGACCTCAGGAGTACATCTATCTGTAAGGAGAAACTTCAGTAAGACTGAGTGTAGCTAGATCCAGAATATGCATTTCAGTATGAATTAGAAAAATTTGTTGAAAGGGATTTACCTTTTCTAAGGCTGCCCTTAGCGATGTGATTGGATGTTTGAGGGGCACAGGCTCAGGGAAGTGAGGGCACATTTCCTCTATTGTCACTTCTTTTATAACCACTTCTGAGGAAAATGCGAAAAAAGGCAGTTTCATCATGTATGAAAAATGCAGACACAATTGGACAACCAGAGATGCACAGACTGTTTTGGCAGCTCACAGGTATGACTGTGGATGCATTGCAGAAAAGGATCAAAACTACACATGTAAAAAGACTGTGACCTTTATAGAAATATGGCTGTTTGTCAGTCCAGATCTTTACATAATACAGAAGCATATGTATGAAGAGCTGTAATATAACTTAGAAAACTAGACCTTCCCTAACTTTCTTGGTTTCCAGTGGACTTATTTTATGTGTTAGGATGAAAGTTGGATTTTCCACCAAAATCCAAAGGATGTGACTTTTATGTGTGTTCGCACCAGCCTCTCTTCTGCCCTACATTGTCAACAGTGCTTATAAATACATTTCACAAGCAAAGCTTGATGCTGACTAACATTAGCCTGCTTGCAAACAAGGACAAATTGCTAGCTAGCTAATGTATCTAAGTACTAGTCAGCTAATTCATCCAGACTCCTGGGGTTGGTCTGGCTGGTAAATTGACTGGCTTCTGTGCAAAGGTAACTTTGTCGGCTGTCATTGTGGGGTGGCCAGCACCAGAGGACGTTAATCAGCTTGACTGGATTGCAGCTGGCTGGCTTACTTTATGTCTTATGAAAAACAGTGTTGATTTTAGCCAATAATAAATTATGTGCATTATGTACATTAACAGTACAAAGCTAAATACTACTTTTGTAGCCAAGGGCAATGCAAGACAGCGGCATCCAACTAGCTAACTGCAGCCTGTTGTTGTTGGCCATAAACAGCAAGCTAGTTAGTAGCATGGAGTCAGTGATTCAAATAAATGCCCATGCTTGCCCCTATAGACTGTGTATGGAGTTTGAGCAACAGGATGCTGACTGCAGTTCACTTATTGGCCACTGATGTCACTGTTAACTACAGCTTTCTGAAAATTACATATAGAACCTTTAAAGGGTTTAACTGAAATTATGAAAAATTATTATTACATTATTACCAGTACAGTAGATTACCTAACACAGTCAGTATTTTGCAGTATGTAATGTATCTGTACTGAACTAAGTACAGATACTGTATATTATAATTCAGGTGCAATAAACATAATCTAGTAGATAAGGAATACAGGAATAGGTTTTTGTTACAAGAATCCAGCATGTATACACTAGCCATAAAACAATCATGTTGAGCAGTTCATTATTAAGTGCTGTAAATATGTTGTCCTGCTTTGATTTTCCCAGGGGTACACGTTTATAAAGCTTTATTATATGACTCACTGATACGTCTTTGTTTTACGCAGTCAGACAGTACACTCTGAACACTAAGTTGTCCCTGAGCCAAATTCACATTTATGTCACATACCAAGCATGAGAAACTAGAGGCAGTGACTGTTGTCTTTTTATCCAGAAACATCCAGCACTGCTCAGGTCCGCCCTCCCTCCTCCCCATGCCGTCTCTCAGCAGGAGTTAAAGTCTGCTTTAACGTGGCTGCTAATCCTGCTGCTACTATTTCCAGTTTTGTGTAATCCTGCTGCAGCTCCTGCAAACGAGCAATTACACACTAAGGAAGACCCAGGTCCAAAAGTAGTTCCTGATTGGAAAGCTGTATACTGTACTGTATGTCTTAAAAATGCTATGTGTTGGTGTTTTGGGGGTGTAAATCTGTGTTACCTGTCTTGAGCTTTGGCATCCTATACTGCCATATGAAACAGCAGGTCATGACCACAGAGAGCAGAAAGAAGACAACCATACCCAGCATGGTCCATTTCACCTTCATCTTTCTTACTGGTGGTTGTGGGCAGCGGATGCAGTCTAGAAAATATATGTTAATATTTGTTAAAAGTCCTAAAGAATGAGTATACCTCTAAATGAAGCATAAGCCTCAGAGGACGAAGATATTTTTCTTTCTTTTTCTGTTGACAAGTAAAAAGTTTGTTTGCCAGAAAATGTAACAACTTTCATGAAAATGACAAACAGCAGCTGCAGGACAAATTGATTAGCTTACCAAAGGAGAAAAATAATCTTTAGATGTCTCTCATTAGCTTTGTGTCATTCTTCTTCTTCAGACAGCAAAAATCCACATCTCATTTCCTGCGAGGTCCACATGGGAGCAGGACTGCATGAACACAACTTCCAATGCTCCTGAGCATTCACTGGCTAAAGACAACTACCTAGATGCACTTAATCCTGACTGTGATCCCTGGCTCCAGATGAAGGGCTGATTCTATTCCCACTCCACTGTGACATCATAATCTGCTGGGAGGTTCAGCCGCAGAGCCAAATGTAAGGAGTGCTGTAGAATGGAAACCTGCTGAGCACTCATCCTCAGCAATCAAATCATCTCACTTCCTCTGGCGTTAATTCCATGCATGCATCACTCATCCTCAGGATGCTCTTCATCAAAGGTTAGAGTTAAGTATTATGTGGAAATGAAGATTTACCAGCTATGAACAAACACAGGTCTGATATTAGCATGAAGAGAAGGACTAAACACATGTTTAGTAGAAGGCAGTCATAAATATACTTTCCTTCCTGCAAATATGTTTTCCTTTCTGCAACTTATAATTGTGACGTAGAAACTTGAGGCCACCAGTGCACATTGAAAATGGACAGTTGCATACTTAGAGATTCTGGATTTTTTTGTGTAGTAGATTAGAGTAAATAGGGATTTTAAACACAATATCTAATTTATTCCATGAAGGGACCGATCACATCAAAACAAAAGACAAACTTTGATGAAGTTGGGCAGTTACATTTAGGATAATGTTAAGTACACAACTCGACAAAATATAGAACACAGGTCTAGTATACACATTTTAAAGTCAAAATTTTATATTATTATTATATCAGTGTAAATAAACAGACACAATCCAATAACACCATATGTATATATATGTCTGGAGGGGATCTTTGTAATGGTAGATGGACCTGTACTTTTATAGCACCTTTCTAGTCTTCCGAAGTCCAAAAAAATATCAAAATAAAAAAGACAAAAAAATATCTTAAGCTTATTGAACATGTTTTCTCAAATTCAGTTAACCTAACCCAATTTGCTTTCCAGCTCAGAGACTTGAACTAATTAGTCAACCTAAGTTAATTTACTCACATTTGTAAGGCAACAAATGAACTTCTTTTTTTAAAGTTGAAACAATCTGCACTGGACACCTCCAAAGAGATTTTACAACATATTTTAAGCTCAAGTTAAGTTTCTATGATCCAGAAATTCAAAAGTCAAGGACCACTTACTAGCATTTTATGAAGCTTTCATCCAGAAGCTTTCAACTTTCCATGGCCCTTTTTGCAAATGGAAGTTGCTATGATTTCATTGATTTCATGATCTAAGTATGGAATTGCACTCAGATAATAACAAGTATTTGTATATGTGGTGAGGTGGCAACCCTTGTCCCTGTTGAAAGATGTTCTCTTGCGTCAGATCTGAATGTCCTCCTTGATCTTCCTCTGGTTGTCCACTGACTCCTGGTTTATGACCTTTGCCCTCTTTGCAGTGGAAGCTATGAATGGCTTTGGTTTGATGTTCACAGACAGCTGATGTTGTGTGTCTGTCTCACGTCATGTGTTCGAGTTACCGTAACTTGTTGCCTTGATCTATTTGTGTGCAGTTACCTCTCCAACCACTAGATGAAGCTATAGACTACATCATGCAGCCTCTCCACTGTACTCTAACACATTTATCCTTGGTGGCTTTGACATGCAGTTATTGACAGAATCCCTGTACAACGTGTGGACCACAACATGAAAATTTCACATAAATCAGCTCAAAGTTGCCATGCAGTGCTTACTTCCTGTTGCCAGTAGGTGGCGCTATCACCACATCTGAATATTGTCATGTAGTCCTGTTCAGGGCGGGAGTCTTGTCAAACGTGAAGTTTCATTGAGATTGGACCATGTACACTGAAGTTATGAGGACGTGTTCAGGGCGAGACTGTTACAGAATATGTTAAGTTTAGTGGAGATTGTACACTGATCCCCCACGACTGACCTGTGTGCAGATTTTAAGGATTTTTCGAATACGATAAAGCCTCCCTAAATGGCCTAAATTTGTGAATAATAATAATTCCTACAATTAAAAAAAATTAATTTAAACTGCAAGCAGTGATGATTGGGCCCTCGCACTCAGTGCCGGCCCGTGGCATAGGCAGTATAGGCAAATGCTAAGGGCGCCGTCCATCTAGGGGGGCGCCACAATGGGGGGGGGGTAAGAATAGGTGCAACTTTCAATATTTTTATACTAAAACTAGTTGGTGCTATTATTTCTTAGTAGGAAAAAGCCCACATTAATTTAACTGCATAGCAAAGCCTATTAAATAATAATAGAGTTTTCGGACGTGACCCCAGAAACCATTAACAATGTCAAAACGACCAAAACTTTCTGGTGCCCAGTGAAGGAAAAAAAGAAAAGAAGAGGAAGAAAAATGCGACAAAGACAGAGGTAAAGATAATGTGATGAAATGATTTGTCTGGCTCAGAGCAGGAGAATTGTAACCTTTAGCCTAACACGGTTTGCTAATCAATAAATATCATTAGCTCGTTTTAACGTCAGTTCATGTTATGGAGGGGCCGAACAGCTGTTATGGAAAAAAGTAATACTCCCACCTTATTAGAAATCTATTTAGCAGCTGTTTCCATTTGTCTACATTTTTATTTTGATTTATTATTGGTTAGCTAACGTTTGCTCTGCTTCTAACAGTCAGTCAAATGCTATTCCTTTCACACACCTTTATATATTAGAGTTGGAAGCCTTGTTGTTTGTTGTGTTACAGTTCAGTATTGTCTAAAGTGTGTTTATAGTGTTAAACTTTACATCCATGTTAAAGTGCACATTAATAATGTTAATACATTCCCATATGTTATATTATACTGCAGTTTACTGCTTCTTTGCATTCTGCTCATCAGCATTTACTGTAATGACAATAAGATTAAATCTTATCTAATTTGCATATCAGAAAAAATTGCAGTGTATATCATTCATGTACAGTACAGTGAAAGTAATGCATCTCTTAGGTTTTTCATCTTTATTATTTAATTGTATTCTTGAAATCATTTCTTTTAGTATTAGACTGTAACACCCAACGGTGTCTCTTACTCCTCTTCTCTCTTCAGATGCGCTGTTGAAATATTTTAATCCACCTCCTGCAAATACTGGGCCATCTACAGTCGTCGCCACTTCAACAGCATCAACTGATCCTCCTGTCGTCTCCACCTCAGAAGAACCAGTGATGCAGCATCAGGAATAAAGGCTGCACCAATAGACCCTGCTGACTGGCCATCTCCTCTAACTGATGATGTACGAACAGGGTTAGTTCACAGAGGTCCATTTCACATTGAAAACACCTTCACATTCCCTAAACAAAAGGACGGACGAAGGTGTCAACATGACTATTTTCACAGACACTTAAAAAATCAAATTAAAAAATCAGAAGAAGCTGGCTAATGTACTCTAAAAAGATGATAGCTTGTACTGCTTCTGCTGCAAAATGTTTTCCAAGAGAGATTACAAACTAAATAGGGAAGGACTAAAGGACTGGAAAAATGCAAGCCACTTGCTCAAGGTCCATTAGGATAGCCAGGAGCATAATGCTCACATGGCAACATGGAAGGACTTGGAGGTCCGTTTTGCGAAAGGGTTCACAATCGATAAACAAGAGATGGCACTCGCTGAGGCTGAGAGAAAAATGTGGCGTAATGTTCTACATCGATTGGTGGCAATAATTCAGTCCTTAGCTGAAAGAAACATGGCTTTAAGGGGGTCCAGAGACACATTAAATAAACCAGACGATGGCAATTTTCTAAAAGAGGTGGAGCCAAATTTGATCCAGTAATGAAACAGCATGTCAGTAGGGTGGAAAGTGGAGCTGGCAGTCACATACATTATCTGGGCAAAACAATCCAAAATGAACTGACAGACTGCATCAGTTCAAAAATAATAGAAAGCATTGTGATAGAGATCAAAACATCCAAGTATTTCTCTATCATTTTAGATTGCACCCCTGATCTGAGTCATAAGGAACAGCTCTCTCCCTCTTCGCAGGGCGGCTGTGGCTCAGAGGCAGGTTCGGAAGGTTGTGGGTTCGATCCCCAGCTCCTGGTGCCACATGTCGAAGTATCCTTGAGCAAGATACTGAACCCCAAATTGTTCCCGATGCCATGCATCGGTGTGTAAGTGTGTATGAATGTTAGTTTCTGTTCAACGGACTTTGCCATCACTGAGTGAATGTGTGTGAAAGGGTGAATGTGGCACATAGTGTAAAAGCGTTTTGAGTGGTCGGAAGACTAGAAAGGCACTATACAAGTACAGGTCCATTTACCATCCATTTACTCTCTGTCATAGTCAGGATAGTGTCACTAGAAGACATACCACAGGTTAAATAGCATTTCTTAGGCTTTCTTGTTGCTGAGGAGTCAACAGAAGAACATTTGTCATCCCTTATCCTAAATAGGCTAGAGGAGCTTAACATCCCCTTTGAGGACTGCAGAGGACAGTCCTATGGCAATGGTGCCAACATGAAGGGAAAAAATAAAGGTGTTCAGGCAAGGTTGCTTCAGCTGAACTCATAAGCTTTTTTTGTCCCATGTGGTGCCTACACCTTAAATCTGGTAATTGCTGATGCTGCAAAAAGCTCACCAGATGCCTTTTGCTACCTTGGGCATTTAACAAAGTTATTCAAGCTCTTCTCAGCCTCCACCCACAGGTGGGATATCCTCCTGAAACATGTTAAAACCACTCTGAAATCATGGGCAGAGACCAGATGGGAAAGCAGGATAAAAAGCATTGAGGCAGTAAGGTATCAGGCTGGGGAAGTCAGACTGGCTCTTCTGGAGGTGAGGGAAACAACTGCAGACCCTGTGGTGAGAGTTGAAGCCCAGTCTTTGGCTGAGGAGATTGGATCCTATCGCTTTTGTATCTGTACAGCCATATGGTATGACATTCTCAGCAAGGCACAGCATGTGAGTAAACTGATGCAGTTGCCCTCCATGCAGCTAGATGTGGCTGTCGAATTGCTGAAGAAAACCAAAGATTCCCTCACCTGCTATAGAAACACTGGATTTTCTGATGCACAGACAACTGCAAAGGAGATGTGTGACGAAATGAATGTGGAGGCTGAACTCAAACAAAAGCGACTGAGAACCACAAAAAGGCACTTTGGTTATGAGTCTCCAGATGAGCCAATAGAAGATGCATTTCGAAAAATGGAAACTACAATAAATAAATCATTCTGTTATTTTTAATAACATAGATGGAATCTAACTTATCAACTTATAAGTGTTTTAAAATATATTTTTTTAAAACGCAGATTAGAGATTTTTAAAAGTCAACTCAAACTCCCCTTGAACACTGTAAACCAGAGCACTTTCCAGAGTTGTAAAGTCTTGGTTCATGTTCGAATGAAACACACTGACCCATTTATACCAAACTGAAACATTTCAACCACAAAACAACTACATAAAAACAAAGGAAAGAAACTGAAAGATATTAAATATGGACTAATAATAAGAACTAAGATCCTAGACGACAATAATATATGGACATAAATAATCCAATGTAAATTCATATTCATATTTTTCACCTTTCACCAACTTCTTCCTCTGACTGATTTTTTAAAAAAAAATTAAGTGATATAAAAAAAGATACCTACTGTTAAGTCCTGCAAAGGGAAAAAGGATAACATAATAACAATGATGTTGTTGTTGTTTGTCAATAAAAAGGGTCCTCAGGGACACCTCAGGCTGTGAGACTGCTTAATTCATTCAGGGGTGGATCTAGAGAAACGTGTATGTCGTTCATGTCCACAAGTTAGCATTTAAGGGATATCAGAAAAGTCTGCTAATTCAATCACGAACAATCACATTTATCAATATTTTCTTGGAAAAGCCTTTAAATAAAGACATTTGGACTCAAAACATTATTTTGGTACATATCTAAATGTAGCATTAGAAATCAATAAATTGTTTGATTGATGAATCTCCAGACATTTTCCAAGTACACGTCTTTTTGAACTTAGTCTATAATGTTGCTATGAGAGATATGTGTTCATTTTGATTTTTAAAAATTAATTTCAATTAATGTAATCAGTTTGACAGCACTTGACACCAAACTGGGTGGTGCCAACCCATACAACCCCTCTAGATTCGCCCCTGCACTGCAAATGTTAGACAAGCTGAGCTCATTAAATGGCTACTAAAAGTCGTTTCATGCAGCACAAGGAAAAAACATTAAACCAAACAGTATGTTTTGTTGTATTTCATTGTACTTGTTAATTTAGTGATTTCTACAGTTGTGATAATTGATATATTTAAAGGGGAGGGGAGACCACTGAGGTTGAATGTAGCTTAATGTGTTAGGTAATAATGTCATCATGCTGGAAGCATGGATAAACAATATTTTGTTGTTTCATTTGGAGGACTTGTTGGTTTTTTAATAGCCTTGTTGTTATATATTCGTGCAGCGTTTACACCTGGCCTGTCCTGCAGTCCAGCAGTGATTGCAGAGACACCGCTCTGCTCTGCTAACTGGGACTGGAACCCCGACAGTGAGCACAGCCACAGAGAGGCACCAGCTTTACTGCTCAATCTATGACCCCCAAGTCAAGACGGATTACGTCTGATTGGATCGCTGATGGCGCGTCTGACCTACAATCTGCTGCATTCTCATCGCCATTTCTCTGGGCAAAGGTTTCCATGGGAACAAGCCCTGGGCTCCTCTAATCTGTTGTTTTGCAGCCCTCACTCATCTGGAGGCAGGCTAGATTCCTTTTTGTCATGCCCATATTCTTCTGCTCTATTTCCTCACTGAGCTCTCTCTTGCTCACTCTCTCACTCTGTCTCTCTCTCACTCTCTCTCTCTCTCTGTCTCTCGCTCACTCTCTCCCGTTCACTCCAGTCTCATGTTATGAAAGAGCTCAGACGGATCAGCTGTAGGATCTCTGTGGACATGGCAGCACTGCAGCTAAGACACAGAATTCTGCCCTTTTTGAGCTCTTAAAATCCAGATGAAATGAAAAATGTCTTTTTCACCCTTTAAAATGACGAATTAACAAGAAAATGGTAAAATATATACAGGTGTAGGTATATAGGTGAATACGCTAATTATTTTGTTGTTTAAATATGCAAAATATGCATTATCTAATGCTAACTTTTGGTGAAATCAGATGCAAATATACAAAGAAGCAAAATAGTCCCAAATTTCAAAATTGACCAGTGTATCAACAAAGCATGTTTTTACCTTTACCTGTGTCTGGCTTTAAGTAGTACGCAAACAAAGTTACACTCCACTTATACTGTAGGTATAAAAATCTTTTCATGAAAGATATATTTTGATACTATGCTATTGTTGTTTCTCGTCAAGTGTGTTCATTTTAGTCATGTTCATGTTTAGTGTTTCATGTTTAGTCCTTCCTGTTTTTATTTTGTACTCACCTTTTCCCTCACATTTCAGACCCTGACTTCCTCCCTTTGTGTGATTTTCCCTCCTTTGTAATTGTCTGCCCCGCCCCTGATTGTTTTCACCTGTTTTCACTTACACCTAGTATAAATAGTTCTTGTCTCCCTTTGTCTATTGTCAGTTTGTGAAACGTGTTGTCATGCGTTCCAGCCAGAGTTTTTTCATGTTTTGCTTAAGGTTTGTGTGAAGTTTTTGATCTTGTCGTGAGCTTGTTTTGCACTTTTTATCCTCCTTCTGCGCCTTTTTAGGGCCAGCGTATTTCGTATTCGTTTGTATTTGGACAAACTCCTCCTAGGGAATTGATCGGATCCAATCCCAACGAAACTTGAAGTTTAATAAGAGTCCCTCCCTGAACACGTCAATGTGATAATATTCAGTGATAGTGAGAGCGCCACCTAGTGGTGAAAGGAAATGTCATTTTTATACTTTTATGTATATCTTTCAGCAGATTGATGAGATCCTGCTGAAATTCTGTCAGCGGTCCTTAAAGATGATGCTGATGACATCTTATGAATCTTAAGAATTTGTGTGGAACCATGTTGCCATGGCGACGCAGCACTTTTTTGGGGGGCTAAACAAAAAACAAAAACTCATGAAACTTTGCACATAATTCAGTTGTGGCGAAGGCTAAGGTATTGTCTTGGTCCCACAGATGGGCGTTGCAAAATGGCTTTGCCACGCCCCCATAATCAAGCCCCCAAGACACATACAACCGGCACTCCTCCCAGGGAATTTAATTTAATCGGCGCAATCTAAAGACATTCATGATTAAAATTTGTGCTATTTGCGACATTCCGCCACAGGCACGATGTCCAATTTCGGCGATTTGCCATGAAAACTGAAGTTGTCATAACTTCAGTGTACATGTACAATCTCAATGAAGCTTCATGTTTCAGAATCAGAATTCATTGAGATTAGACCATGTACACCAAAGTTATGTTTGATAAGAGTTCCGCCCTGAACACATTTACATGACAATAGTCAGATATAGTGATAGCGCCACCTACTGGCAACAGGAAGTAAGCAATGCGTGGTGATTTAGGTCTGATTTATGTGCAATGTTCATGTTGTGGTCAGCAAGTGACGCGGCTGCAGCACAACCGGAGTTGCGTGGAGTGCGAGGGCCCCTTCATACCTGATTGCAGCTTTAATGTTTCTTTGTTTTTTCCCTCCTTGAGAGCGCTTTTTGAACACCCCTTTTGTGCATCTTCATCAGTCCCTGAGTCGTGCATTTGAGTCCACCAGAATTGTGTCTGAGGTCATGACAGCTATATACTATGTTTCTACTGCAGCCATTTATTACAGCTCGTAACATTTAACATTGGAAGATGTAAATATTGCCTTTCTAGGGTATGGAACATAAAAGACAATATTTTTAGCAAATATGAATGCACAATTATGCGTGTGTGTGTGTGTGTGTGTGTGTATATATATATTTATATATAATTGTGGTCTGTTCCAGAAGAATGGATGAAAGTGAAAACTGTTCTAAAGTAAATAAATAAAACATGGGAGAAATAAACAGTGGTGGAAGATCCTTTAATTTTTAAATCCTTTACTGAAGTAAAAGTACAATATTTCCCATTGTAGTGGAGTGAGTAGGCTATAAAGTAGCAGAAGGTGGAAATGCAGTAAAGTACAAATGCCTCAAAATTGCACCTAAGTACAATCCTGGGAATGAGGCTCAACAATTAACTATCTGGGCTCTGATTGGTTGTTTTCATCCAGGCCCGGTAGATTCTTGCAAATTCCATTAGGAGCACTAGGAGGAACGGAGGAACCAGAGGAACCTGATTTTTTTGTCTTATGTTCTACTGTCAGGATATAGTGAAAGTTTCAGCAAATATGACAAAACGTATTTTTATGAATGTAAATTAAATTAAATGACCTACTGCTAACTTTAATAATAACTCATTCATTTTGCACATAGGAGCAAAGCAACCCTGACATTAGGATCAGTCAATGTGTGCAGCGGGATGCCGGTGTTGTGTCGTTTTTCCGGTGTGTTTCCGCCCCCTTCCTCTTGGTTTCGCCCAAACTGGCCTGAGCAGTAGCTCCTCAGCCTTTATCCCTCTGATGCTGCTGCTGCTGATGTTGAGGAAGATGCGCTGCAACTCTGAATGAATCCACAGTCAATTGCCTGCTGCTGGACGGCTGCGCGATGAACGCATTGGCTCTTTACAGCCAAATACCTGGAATGACGATGATTATGGATATCTTCTATTTTGTATTGATACTGCCAACAGTATGGGCTGTCGAAGGTAAGCCGATGTTTAACTCTTGTGTGAATGTGGACGGTTGGATTCAGCTCCATCATTAATGCAAAAACTGCCCAACACGTTTTTACAAGAGAGAGCTCTCCTGTGGAAACAGTCCCGTAGTCTGTCGATGTAGCTCTGTTAAAGCCCACTGTACCGTGAGGGACTGACTGCCAACATGTTGGGAGGCTAGGCTGGAATTAATCTCTTTCTCTGGCTTTCACTCTTTTCACTTTTCACATCAATATAGGCGATGGGATATTATTATTATTATTATTATTATTATTATTATTACTACTACTTTGGGGTGATCATGAAATGATCATGGACTAATCGGTCTGTACACTGCATTCCTCTGCAACATGTGTTTTTATATAGTATATGCAAACAATACTGTATGTAAATCCAGATTATATGGAACAGCACAAAGTCAGTACATGTAGATTTACTCTGGTATGATTCTGGACTTGTGAACCTCCAGGGTCCAAGTAGAGATATCAGAGTGAGTAGAGACTATGTGAATATGAATATGAATATGTAACATATCATGAATAGTAATCACCTATCTACCCATGCATTATCTATTATTTTAACTCATTACTATTATTTTTGTATCTGCATTATGTGAAATATATTACAAAATTACAGCCTTCATTGCAAACCTTGTTCAAACCCACAAATCTTCAATGTAGTGGAGATTCAAGTTACAAAGTCTGAAGTTACAGAAGAGAACCTAAAATGTCTGGCTGAATGTGGGGAGAGGTTTAAGGATATGTAATACTTTGAACATTTCACTCAGGGGAAACATCCTGGAACTTCAGTGAAGAGCTGGAACAAGATGATACAAATATTGTGTTAACAGCCATGAAGCTACTTAAAGGGAAAACAGAAGAACGTTTGAATTTCATGTAAATTTAAATACATTGAAATATCAATAAAATTAGAAAAATAGCCTGTGAATGTACATGTCTAGTGTAAAATTAAAGAGGACATAGAATGACTACTTAAGAACATTTAGCAGATTTTTGCAGATATTTACTGTTTATGCTGTGGTGCAGAGGCAGAAAGGGCCGTCCCCTAATTGAAAGGTTGTTGGTTCGATCCCCGGCTCCTCCTGCACACATGTCGAAGTGTCCTTGAGCAAGATACTGAACCCGAATTGCCGTGTATTAGTGTGTGAATGTGTATGAATGAGTTCGTTTCTTGTATGTATGTCTGAAAGCTACGTACAATTTCCTGTGAAGGACAATAAAGTATCTATCTATTTATTAGATTAAACTGTTAAATTCAAGGTTAATAATGTTGATACATTTCTAAAATGTTGTAAAATGAGTGACAATTAATAATAAAAAATTATTAGCTCTGTAGTTTTGCATGGATTTGTTTGTGAATTGACAGATATCTAAATAATTATGGAAGTTTTCACAACAAAAATGTTGAATAAATGTTTTTTATCAGTATATAAGCATGGTAAACTGTCAAAATACAGTTTATACAGTTATTATTACTGAAAACAGCAATAATCACTGTAATTTCACAGATAATGACTTTTACTACAGTTCTATAACTTTCAAAATCAGATTAAAATTATCCCTTTAATCCTGATTATGTGTATTATAGCAGTGTTCGCCTGTATTTATAAAAAATTCACGTAAACAATAAAAAAAAATTAAATGTACAATTAAAGCTAAAATCTGTATTTCAATTATTCTGCTGGAATATTATTATTATTTTCTTCTTTTTTTACAGTGTGTGTGATGATGATTTATTACACTTAGAAGCGTGTGAAGAGTCAGCATAACTGACTTCTTAAATTATCAGCTACTGAAAAGGCTTGGCTTTATAGTAAATTATCACAGTATAGTCTACAAAAAATGTACAATAAGCAGTACTTGTGAAGACCCTATACAATACCTTATCGAAAAACAGTACAAGGTGGCTGAACTCTCAAGATCACATGAGAATCCATCTTGCTAGGTTTCAGTTATGCATTTGGTAGCACCAATCAGTGACCTTTGAGGAAATACTGGCAGGTACTGGGGTGGGCAGGAAATTTCTTGACAATGTATCCATATACCCCCAACTCATTTTACCAGAAACCAACCAGTTTTCCAACACTGGAATATCCTGCCCCTTGTGTGCTGCAAATTTGTTTGTAATAACCAATGAAATACACATTTGTTTAGGGATATGCACAGTGTCAGCATAATATCAAGTGATATTGATAAAGAAATTAAAGCTGTATTTTGACACATGCCCTCTCTAACATGCAGAAGCTACAACCTGGGCAGGGACTTTCAGGGCCCCTTTCAGACCCTGCACTTGCCCATGTTGGTTCCTAAAGCAGTCTTTAGTGCTGCTGCTGGGAGAGAAGGCATGCTTAAGTGTGCTTTCTGTACACACTGCTGTTAGATGTAACAATAATGGTGATGAATGATTTCCAGCAGGCACACATTGCTTAAGAGCTTCTACTTGTGGGTCACACATTGGATTGAATATTACAATAATATCATTCTAGGGCTCCATGATATGGTAGAGACATCATATTGTGATTATTTTGAAAGATAATGAGAATGATCACGCTTGCATTACAAATTTAATTGTGAAAAAACTACTCAAATTATGATGATGTGACATTTGCTGTGGTCTCTTCCAAACAAACATGTTTTCCTACATCTGTAGAATAGGATTTGTAGGCCAGGACATCTCTGCAGAACTACAGTACTTCTTTATAATGCTGTTTGTCGCTCATTTTACCTTTAATAAAACATATTACACCATATTACCATTTTGCTAATATTTTGATTGATTATGCAGCCCTATATTATTCATAAATTACCAATAATAAATCATTAATATTATTTAAGTTCCTGAAACAGAATTCAAACACACTGCATTAACAGAAAGCAAATTAAAAGTAGGTATGCACGGTAAATGAACAGTCCATAATGATATTAATTAGGGCCCAAGAAGTGCCTGTTGTGAGAACCCTATTGAAATGCAAGGAATTATTTCTCTTCCAAAAGGATCACATTTTTAGTGGCCGCAACATGCTCGAAACCTTTTAAATTCATGATTCAATGGTAGCGTAAATGTATGTATTATATGGGTCAAGCACATGGGCGTCGCAAAATGGCTTAGGCACGCCGCCTAAACTCAGCCCCGAAGACACGTTTCACCGATATTTTTGAAAATCACGTGCAAACCCAATGCTGAATGGTGTGTCCGTGGCTTGGTGTCGAATTTTTACTTATCGTCATTCAAGAGGAAGTTGTTATAACTTCAGCGGTCATGGTCCAATCTCAATGAAACTTCACACGTGTGAAAAGAGTCCCGCCCTGAGATCACCTACATGCCAATACTCAGTCATAGTCATAGCAGTTTTACATAGTTTTTGATACTCAAATCCACAGTAGGGATTTAAGGATATATCAGCCTCTGCTGCTGTTAATCTGCCCTAACCTTACTGTATGGAAGAGCAATGCTAAATTGCTGGTTGTAATGCTATAGGGAACTGAATTGAACAAATTCAGAAAACATAGGAATGTAAACAGCTAGCAAGCAACCTAGTTTCATACTGAAGTGGGGGGGGCGGGGTAAAAAAAACATCTGGCCATTTTTAGATGTTCAACATGTCTGTCATACCTAACATACATACCCTGCTCTGCATGAGTGAACATGCATATGAGTCAGAGCTGAATTTAGTGAGGTACTGTATTATTAAATAAGAAATAAAACACTACCTTATTTTCAAATTGCATGATACTATATTTTACAGAAAATTAAGCATAATTAAAACACAAATCTGCATAAAAAAATAAAAGGTTTAAGGACTTTAATAAGGACTCTGGACAGTGATAATTTGAGGCTGTTCACAGCTTCTTTCTTAGGCTGGAAGCCTAATTGTTTATTTGCCATCGTCAGAGGACAGGCTGCTATGCTGATGATGAATCGCTGGAGGGCTGGAAAGTTTCTCAATCTTTCACGGCCAATGAGTGTCATTTAATAGCAATGCTAATAGCCTTGAAGCAGTTAAATGTGATTATATGCCTGAAAGTTCTTATAACTTCCAGTAAGCCTCAAATTGATCTCCATTCTCTGGCCTGTTCTCTGAAAGCACTCTCCAGTATTTGGACAAACATACTGTATGTGGACACATGGTACTTGGGTCTAGTTCCAGTGAAGCAAAATGTTAATCCTGCAGCGCATAATTCTATGTCCGAATAGTTTTCTTCAAACTTTGTGGTCACCGTGTTTCCTGCTCCAACATGACAGTGCCCCCGTGTACAAAGCCAGCTCCATAAAGAAGTTATTTTCCCAGTTTGGTGTGGAAGAACATTGCTGGCCTGCACAGAGCCCTTATTTCAACTAGACGTTTGATTGACCAGATCCGACCTTACCCCAGAACAATTCTGTGAAAGCCCGAACCGAGCCTGAACCACAGAAACAGTTTTGGGCCCAAGCCCGACACACATATCCGTTTAAAATTAATAAATAATATAAAGTTTATTACAAGCTAAAGTAACTAAGTAATTGCAGTTGCACACATTAACAAATTGCACATCTTGCTGCACATCTTGCTGCAGCAGCAGTTTTGGGCATGAACCCGTCGGGCCATGCCGAATCCAATCAGGTTCGGGCCGGGTTCGGGCCGAGAATCCAAGCTCAGGTTCCTAACCTGACTGCACGAGATGGTTTGTTACATGGAACCATCTGGGAAGTCGTCATTGAAAACTGTTTGGAAAAGCACATGGGCAGTGTCCATCACTGTCTATCAATGGTGAACGTCAACCAATCAGATCAGCTAACCATCTAACAGTCAAACTGTCAGTCAGGAAAATCAAAGTCAGTTGAGAGAAGAGTAAAGAGTTTCCTGTTTGGAACCAGGAAGTGTTTTTGAACCATAATTTTACCTCCGCTTATAATCTTACCATCACAATTTAGCTCCTAACTAGTCATCGATGTATGTGCGCACTCCATGCATGAACAATACTGAAACAAAA